CCACAACCATGGTACATGCTCTTGACTCAAGGGCCCACAGGCCGACGCTCTATCCACTGAGCCAAACCGGTTAGGGCTATATATTGTTTTTGTGGTTAATCACTATGCTTTCATTATGTTCAATTTGTAACAATGACATTGGGGGTCGCCACAACATGAGGAACTGTATTGAAGGGTTGCGGCATGAGGAAGGTTGAGAACCGCTGCCTTAGACCCTTACAGACTCGGAAGCCTGTCACTGGAATTCGAGTTGTGAGAAACTCCCCGAGGCTCATGAGCATCCCGATCTAGGGCACAGAGCAAGCTGGCAGGGCGCTTTCTTCTGAAACAGACACCGCGGGTGGGGATATAAACGGGATTTTGTTACTCCGTCGGTGGGGGTGAGCCCGGGTCCCAGGGCAACGCCGAGGGCAGAATTTGGGGGGTGATGGCGCGGCCTTGGCTGCCGCTGGAGCAGACAGGAAGCCGAGGGACCTGGCCCCCGCTCTGACCTCCCCTGTCCTTGGAGATGGGGCCTTCGGGAGCCCACAGCCTGTGGCCTCCGGGAGCCCACAGCCCTTCCCCAGTCGCTGGTCCTCTTTGGGGGAGACCTGCCACCTCCTGCTGCATCGGGGCGCCTTTGAGGACGAGCCTTGGCCAATGTGCAGCCTCACCCTCTTTTGGGGGGACCAGGAGGGCGAGTGGGCGTGGGGCGGAGACTGGCGTCGCAGGCGGGGTCTTGGTGAAGTTCCTCGTTCCCTCAGGCAGATGGTTCCGTGAGCTGCAAGCGGACAGACTGCGTGGACTCGTGCCCTCACCCCATTCGGATCCCGGGACAGTGCTGCCCGGACTGTTCGGCAGGTATTCCCCGCGGAGGGGTCCCCGGCACCCCTCTCCGCCGCACTCGGCCCTCTCGGAGCCAGGCTCCTCCTCACAACTTCCGGGCCATCCTCACAACTTCCCGTGGGCAAACCCATTTTACAGATGAGGAAACTGAGGCTCAGAGACAGAGAATTTGCTCGTGGCAGCCCTGTCTGGGTGCTGGAGGCAGCTGGGGAGATGTGCCAAACCGGCAGCCTAGTGGGTGAACAGGAGCCGTACCTGGGAACAGAGAACGGGGAGAGAGTAAAAGTGCCAGTTTATTCATAGAAGCTTCTCCCTTGTTTCAAAGTTGTGAGAAACTCCCCGAGGCTCATGAGCATTCCGATCTAGGGCACAGAGCAAGCTGGCAGGGCGCTTTCTTCTGAAACAGACACCGCGGGTGGGGATATAAACGGGATTTTGTTACTCCATCGGTGGGGGTGAGCCCGGGTCCCAGGGCAACACCGAGGGCAGAATTTGGGGGGTGATGGCGCGGCCTTGGCTGCCGCTGGAGCAGACAGGAAGCCGAGGGACCTGGCCCCCGCTCTGCCCTCCCCTGTCCTTGGAGATGGGGCCTTCGGGAGCCCACAGCCCTTCCCCAGTTGCTGGTCCCCTTTGGGGGAGACCTGCCACCTCCTGCTGCGTCGGGGCGCCTTCGAGGACGAGCCTTGGCCACTGTGCAGCCTCGCCCTCTTTTGGGGGGACCAGGAGGGCGAGTGGGCGTGGGGCGGAGACTGGCGTCGCAGGCGGGGTCTTGGTGAAGTTCCTCGTTCCCTCAGGCAGATGGTTCCGTGAGCTGCAAGCGGACAGACTGCGTGGACTCGTGCCCTCACCCCATTCGGATCCCGGGACAGTGCTGCCCGGACTGTTCGGCAGGTAATTCCCCGCGGGGGGTCCCCGGCATCCCTCTCCGCCACACTCGGCCCTCTCGGAGCCAGGCTCCTCCACGTGAAGCACCGCACAGCCATCCGGGCCATCCTCACAACTTCCCGTGGGCAACCCCATTTTACAGATGAGGAAACTGAGGCTCAGAGACAGAGAATTTGCTCGTGGCAGGCCCTGTCTGGGGGCTGG